ATAAGTTATGAACTCATTGAACGAACAAAAGACGTGATTAAAATCAGATAACTATTTTTGGTCATGTGATCATACCCTTAATATATAGTAGAATGAAAAACTTTTCAGATGACTATGTCATGTGACTTCATTAATTATGCCAGTATGTCATATTCACAGAAATCGTGGTAAGCTGATCTCAAATTTTGTTTTTCATCTCATTCAAATGGTCAACTGGCAGCCATGTTTGATTAAAAAATAAAGTCCATTTTTTGCACTTTTTTTGAAAAAAAATATAAGTTCCCTACTGGAAGTATACTATTTTTGACCAATTTTTCAGCTTTTTGAGTTGATGAAGAAGGCAACTTTTTGGGTCTTGTAAACTATATGAATGCGTCTGGGCACAAAACTTTGTGTAATTTTTCAATTATATAACTTACTGCTTTGTCAGGTCATTAACAATGAATGACTTGTTGAACTTAGATTGGCATCAGCAATTCTGACATGGTTTATTGTCTGTCTTTCATAAAGGCTACATAAACAGTGGATTAAAATAAAAAGTGCAAAATAATATTGTGTTACAAGTATAAATATTTTTTTTTTTAATTTTACATTTCGATCACCATTTTTAACCTATATAATAGCAGCATTTCTTTTTAGGAAATAGGTGCATTCAAGTCTCAGAGATGAGATGAAATAAATGTATTGGCATGCAAGATATTACTTGAGCACCCTTCTATTATGGATCCGGCAAGTTTAGTGCGTAGTGTCAATTTGCTTAGACCATTACTTCCTGCAGTTTTCATTTATCCTATAACAATTTCAGTGGTTAATTTACTCTAAATACTGTTTATTTTTTCTCCAGGATGAGTTGGTAGGAAGTAGTATTTACAGTTTAATACATGCAGGGGATCATGCTCAGCTTACTGAGTGTCTCTTACCTCTAAGTAAGTACTTAATTATTTTGCAGTGGCTGCACCAATCACAATAGAAACAGGTTGCATGCTATGGAATAACATTAGCATACTGATAGGGTTATTTGCATATCTTTGAGTGGCTGCACCAATCACAATTGGAATGGGTTGCATCTAATTTGAATAGGGTTGTGGAATAACATTAGCATACTAGTAGTAGTAGTAGTAGTAGTCCAGAGTTTTAAATCCGGTTTGATCCCCGAAGACGAGGGTGGCCAGATTCACCTTAAACTAGTGGCAATCGCTCTTACCCCCTCCCTCCACTTTGCACAATTTAAAGCATCCCTCATCCTCATTCCAACCTTCCCACTCTCCTCCTCCACTTGCATCTTCCACGTCTTCTTTGGCCTTCCCCTTTTCCTTGGACCACTCACCTCTAAATCAAGGGCCCTTCTTAATACATGCCCATCCTCCCTCCTCAGCACATGCCCATACCAACGTACCCCAT